CAAGGCACTGTGTTGGCAGCCGGCTGATGTACCAAAGACAGTCATTGAAATTCTGGAGCGATTCGTTGTCCTAATGTATGACCAGTGAACTTCAAGGTGTAGATGCGGCAAGGCCCTATCTCTTCTCCAAGAAGTCCAGGGCGGAGATCGAGAACATTCCTCTAACGGCAGCGATACCAGGCACGATATGTGGGAAAGGGGGACCCCCCCAAAGGTGATGCACAAGATGTATATCCCAAGGCTATTGTGCCTACTGCACCCCCCTCAGAAATCTGAAAGGAATTCCAAAGATTCCATCAACACAAAAGAAGACACAATAGAAGGGGGTCCCCCTTTCCCACATATCTTGCATCATATGAAGGCAGCAGCTCTATTAGAATACACAAAGAGAGCTGCATTCCAAGCAGGTCACATCTGGGGTCAATGCTCAGTCACCAATCCAGCTGTTCTCTCACCAGGTGACTGGGGTTGGGAGAAGTGCGACGGACAATGGAAAGTTTTATGGACCATGCTTTCTGAGGCCGCCAAAGCTTGTTAAGAGCTGCAAGTGCAAGGTGACCTGCAAGGGAAACTGCAAGTGTCATAGGGCAAACCTCCAGTGCACTTCACTGTGCGCTTGTGATGGACAATGTTATGCAAACTGAGTTAAGTACAACTGAGCACTGCATTATGCCTTATAAACAAAAAGGGTGCAGCCATCTTGGATTTAAATATGGCAGATATCTGACAGCTTTTCTTTAACTGGAATCCTTGACAGGGGTAGCCATTGGAATTGAGTCTCTATCTGTCTTAGTTTGGAAGTTATAGACAATCGGGTTTAAGGCAGCGGCCATCTTGGAATTCAATATGGCCGACACCGACGTTCAAAACAATTATTTTACTGGATTTCGTGACCCTGAAAATGGGGGGTTAGAGACTGAAATGGCATTTCTATCTGCATTAGTTTAGAAGTTATAGGCACAAGTAGGACCAATATGACGTCCATTTTGAAATCCAATATGGCGGCATTTCACCACCCACCGGGGGGGGGGCATTTCAGAGTTGGGTCCTAATCGAAAATGATCCTATAGGGGTACCCTACATATGTGCCAAGTTTCATAATTTCTCCAAAAAGTGAAACATTTTTCTGCTTGGCCGCTGGACTATTACAGAAAAAATGTCTTGGCTGCTACTGCTGTGCTAGCTTGCATGAACTGCACTAGTGATGAATACCTGATGACACAAGACTGTTTGCTGCATGCAGCACGTTGAGAGTTTAGGCCGAGCCAGGTGGACTATAAGTGGCTGTCTGTTATAATTGCTATGTAATAATGGCAGGTGTCAGTCAGTCTTAAGAGGTGCAAGAATTTAGCTTGAAATTCCTTCCCCTAATTGTTTCTGCATCAATGAACGTCTTTACAAAATGAGGCCATCCAGCACCAATCCCATATCTTGTCCCAAAAGAAATATCTTGCTTACTTTAGCGCAAAGCAGAATGTCCAAGAAGTCGATGTATTTCCTGTGTCTTGTTTGCCCCTTGGCAGCCTCTTCTTTCAGTGCATTCTTTCGCTTCTGGATGATATCCCGCGAGTAGTTATGGACTGTATCACAAGCTTTGCGGAAGCGTCGCCCACTGGGACTCCACTGGAAGATCGTGTCAATGTGGAAAGGAAGGTAGCGAATATGTTGCATAGCCAGGATGGAGATGTCATAGATGCCCTCTATGTAAGGGTGATTTTCAACCCTGAAACATGAAACACAACAAAAATTTTCAGGTGACAAAGGGGCACTGAACCTCACCCTGTGGTCCAGGTTTGGATTCTGACCCAGGCAAAAACAGTTTCAGTCATCGTCAATGGCACTGAGCACCGACTGTGCCATTGCACTTCAGAGATATCTCTTCAAATGCACAGAACCTATGGACCAGCAGTTGATACTAACTGTCTCATTGTGTTCTGGGGATAATATTTTTGCTGCTTGTCTGTTCAAGACCACTTACGTTTGGCAGTTGGTCTCCACACTGAATATACACCTGAGGAGGCTGTCCACCCCCACTGTTTCCCAACGAAGGCAAAGTTAAAAAATTATGTTAGAATGCCAAATTCTCCAAACATTTCCATTCAACCTCCAACTATGAGACTCAAAGACTTCTAAAATCCTTTCTATAATTACCAAACCTAATGATGTTCAATCCAATGAGATTTCAACTAAAATTTGGAAAGTTCATGAGTGTTTACTATTCCTGAGAATTTTCATATGAAACACATGAAGAAAAAGAATACATTACGTACACGTAGTGAATAAAGCTGCAACCAATCTACTTACTTGGTTTGTCTGAAGTGCTGTCTGCACTCATATTTATACTACAACGGCAAACTCCCAGGCTACGCCCTATGACCATGACTCATGGCCAATTAAAGACAGAGATAAATTGAGTTTGCTGTCTACTGCCTGTATGCTTTCAAAGCGATTGAACCTACCAAAGTTAATCATCAACAAGTTCAAAGAAATAAACAAAATGTCTTTTGAAAAATGCTGCCAGGAGCTCTCAAGTTTTCAATCCATGACGTAAAAGCAGTCTGATGGAGGGAAAGGGGGGAAGTGGTGGCTTCACCCTCACTTCAATGTCACAAAAGTTTTGAAGTTTGTTAAGATGCTAAAAAGCTGTTAACAAGCTAGAAAAGATTAAGGGGCCAATGATTTTTTGAATGGGTGAAGTCATAATTATGTCAAAGGACCAGTCTCATTGTCATACATAGAAAGGTTTATGTATCATTGTACACGTCTCAAGTGATGTCTGTGTCTGTCTGTGATGTCCTGCTACAAAAGGTTACAAAGTTCTTACAGAGGCTTCCAAATTCTTCTCACTTCCCTTCATGTGATTAAACTAGGAGAAAGGAGGAAGACGCGGAGGTTGAAAAAACTTTTTCTTCCACAGTCCATTTCACTTCACTCATGAAAAACAAGTTATGCCATGTATCAACATCCCATGATTACAGCCTAAATGCCTGTGAACAACAGAGGATGTTACCATGCTTCACAGGATTGATTTTGGAAATAACAGGAATGTTGCGCCTCTACGATAAAATTGAACGGAAACTGACGTCGCAATAATGCATTAAAACCACCCTAGAAAATGGTGGACCATTCATGAAGTATACGAGACACATCACAATTTGTTTCAATGAGATGAGTTTTCAAGTTTGCTTGAAAGCTAAGAAGCTGCTAACAAGTTAGAAAAGATTATGGAGCCAGTGATTCTTTTCAAATGGGGAAAGTCATAATTTCTGACTTGCATGTCAAAAGTGTGACTAACTATTACGTCATACTCACAGCACATCTCATGATTACGACTTTTTTTGTGAAAGCACATGAAACTTTACAGACAAATGCAATGTAATGTGCCAGTGCACATGACAGCTTGGTGTCACAATGATAACATACAGGCTTCTGACTTTTACCTCAATACATGTACATGTATAAGAAATAAAAGTTATAATTATGACTTAATGCAAGCAATGATTAAGACATGGAAGTCATTATCATGATTTAATACTATTTATGGTTCAATTTTTTTGAACGTCAGCCTTTAAGAAATAAGTTTTAGTATAAAATGCTCCTAATTTTCAGTGTGGAGACCTCAGTGAACCTCATACAATCACTTTGACATTGCATTGATTTTGTGTTGGTTCCACTGCTTTAAATGTACTATTTTTTATTTATAAGATAACAGCTCAGCCCTACATGTGTCTTCAGTATGAATTTTAGTCTGGGGTAATATACCGGTATCAGTTAACCTCAAATAATACATGATTACTCTCACAAAAGAAATTACCTAGGGTTATCACAAAGTCTAGCCTTCTGGACCATTATGAACATCCCTTCCAGAAACTGACCACCTTCAAATTTTCAACTTGTACAAATATCACCTACATGTTTAAATTTGAAAAACAAGCTTCTGCCCCCTGAAATCAAATCGATGTTAGCTTGAGTAGGTGGTAAATGCATAGTCAGTTGGTTCCCCTGCTGCGATACTGTATATGACTGCATCGTGTGGCATTTGTCTTTCACCAGTATAGTGCTGCCAATTAGTGTCTTATCTGTGGTGCTTTCCTTGGGTCTTTTTTGTGGTGCTCTGTCCTGTGCAAGTGACTTTGAGAGAGGTGACAGCCGTGTGCCATGGACAGTGAGGGTTTAAAGAATTAAGTTTGGGAAAAGAAGAAAACTTTGCATGTAGTTTCAAGTGGGGACTTTGCTACATGTACATACTTGATCTTACACCTAATTAGGAGGCATTCAGTCAATTAAGCTTCCACAATGATCCTAAATTCATTTTGTCTTACTCATTCAATTGGAGTGTCCTCCCCCCTTGTGAATGCAGTCAACGTTAAATTATACATCCTCAGAGAAATTAACACAAAAACAAACTAAAACTAGTTAAATTTCAAAAGTTGCGACCACAAATTCTACTGCACTGTTATGCAAGGAACAATTTACTTGAAAATTAATCAGTAAAATACCACTGCACACAATTATTTCCATGAATAAAGCCAAGGCTGTAACATCAGTATTTAAGAAATGAATGTTTGGAAAATATTGTTGCGTTCCCTAAATATCACGTTGATGATAGCATGGACTTTATTAGTGTCTACAGGATGTGATATTTGGGGTCAACAATTTATTAAAAGGTGGACGTGAAACAAGGGGTTTGGGTGACAGTCAAACTGTATGGTTGGTTTATTGCTCTCACTTCTCTTCATTAAAGTTCAATGTGAGTTTGAAGAAGGTGTAGCTTAACATAATACAACACACAAAAGGCAAAGTTATAGAGAGGCAAAGTTGTATACGAGTGTAAACAAACTACGGTTTGGCAGGACCATTGGAAATGCAAGTCAGATGGAGTGGGTACGGTACGTGTGTGTAGCGTCGCACAGCTAAGCTACATTCATAGGGCCGCGCCGTGGTGGGAGCTGTCCCGGACCAACACGGTGACTAGCAATGGCTGGACGGGGCCAGTGCTGTTATGTACAGACCGCACTGCCGCTCAGATCGCAATGTGATGAGCACAATGATAAAGTCGTCGCACTATGTACCAGTGGCTCAGCATAGAGATGGGAAGGACTGGGGCTAGTTAGCAAGACAAGGGTGGCGAGGGACACGGGGGTGTCTCGCCCGGCAATCGGTTCGGACGTAGCGATGACGGGCCGCTACGACTCTCGCTAGCACTCTGGGCTAGTTTGTACCACTCTTGCATCGGTCCAAGCTAAGGTAGCTGGCCATTCATATGGTTACATTTCTTTGCCATAAGAATGGTTACTATCGCACTTCTCTCGGAAAGGGTGCAACCGCCGCGTTACATTAGGTTCCGCTCTCGCAACAAGGGTTTGGTCAGCCGCACCTGACTGACGAACCAGGGAAAATCTGCTCTATTTATAGGATTCTAGAGGCTTAAGAATTAATAAAATATGAGCGTCGCTGAACAGCTCAACCAATGAAAATCTTCCATCTCAAAGGGTCACATGACTTCCTGCTAGAGTCCTGTGCAAGAATCAAAGTGTTGTGTGTAAAAATGTAAAATACAGAATAAGCAGTCGCATGTACAAAGTGTAGAGCCAGGTGCATGAAAGTGCTTACCCGGTCATCTGTGGCGAATGATTGACAGTTACAAAGTCTGACGTTTCTGAGCATTAGCATTTCAGGGAACCTTACCACGCCCAACCACGCAGCCATTTGGAGGGGACTTTCAACATGCCAACCTGAGCAGAGAAAACACAAGGATAAAGGAGTGAAAGAACACGCGATCACGCCAGAGTACAGCATGAATAATTTAATACAAAATTAGCATCTCTGCTACATATCCATAATGCATAGCTGAGCTAAATAAGAGACCCTGAGAAATGTAAGGACCGAGAACAAGTAAAACTAGGGGGCGCTAGAATTCCAAGATTTGCAGGTGCACAACAATATGCTCCTAGTCTCAGAATGGAAAACTTACTGAACTATATACTTTTAGACAGCAGAAAATTCAATTGATTAGGTAAACTGCACTGAATTTATGTCATTAAAACTGGTTTTCATCTAAAGCTGAAAATTCTTATCTATACGAATGGCAGTCATGGAAGGACAGTCTCCATATGAGGAATTTGGTTTAGGGTTGGCGGGGTGTAACGTGTAGATGAATGTCATTTCTGCCTCGCAGAACCAGCGCATGGATTTGCTGCACTGGAATGGACTCATCGACGGACACGTGAAAACTGTGAAGGACCGTGGCAGATATGATCTTCAACTCATTCCTGGCAAAGTGCTGACCAATACAATTCCTAGCGAGAAATGAAACAAATATATAAAGGAAACAGGATTGTTTCTACCTTCTGGAAGGTGTTGCAGAAACACACCATGCAGGGAAATGCCCTCTAAATCTAGTACTTGTTGACTACAAAAAAGCATTTGATTCAGTCAATCAAGCACTACCGTTCACTAAACTACGGCATTTTGGTGCGGAAGAGGGTGT